AGAGTCAGAGAGTCATTCGTAAAGTTTCTTCAATTATTGAATATATTAATGAATTTACAGGTAAACTGACATACGAAGTGGAATTCAAAAGTCAGTACAAGTATTTAGGTTCTACATTGAGTAGATCAGATCATAATCAATAAATGTAGAACTGACGATTAACATCTTTTAAATTATAAGTATATTGATATTAGTTTTAACAATAGTTTTTTTTTATATGTAGTATTAGATTCTGTATTTATAAGTAGAAATTGTAGGTGAAATATTTCACATATTCATATTCATCATTTCACGATTGTAGTTTATTACATATTTGTACCAAAGGTAAGTTTAGTACGTAGTCCGATAGTACCGTAGTAACGTTGGATAACTCATGAATTATATAGTCATTATGTAAATATTGCAAAGTAAGAAAGGTAATTGTAAATGTTGGAATTCCCTTGATGATGTTGGTAAGTGACTTTAAGTGGACATATAAGATTAATTTTACAAAATCAGACTTTGAAAATCTAGGTCAGATGCATTTTTCTGTTTCACCGATTGAAAACTGAAAAGTTTTTTATTTCTAAAAATAAAATAATAATCTTTATCGGGCAAAGAAAAAACATTTTTCACAAAAATTTTTGTAGGCTCTGTCTCCGGAACTATTTGTAACTGAGTTTCAGGAGACAGCGTCTTCTCTTATCTATAGCCTAAAGTTATTATAGTAAAATATCTATTTCTGTATCGATTAGTAATAAATGAAGTTTTTTCACAATTTCATAACGATATTATAAAATTGTATAGAACTGACAATTACTTTGGATAAGTCACGTTATTGTCGTACGTTAGTTCCATACAATTTGGAAGTTCGCTATGGAATCGCTTCGAATGGATTGCGTTTTGTCTATACCCTCTGACATGCGAACTTAAGAACATCTGCGTATAAAATTGATATAGCATTTATATTTGTCATTGTAGTGACGGAAAGGCTACATTTATTACAAAATATTACTTAAAGCGCAATAGGCTCAAAGAGCTAATATCCACATCTTTTATACTTAATTAATATATTTTTAACATATTATAGTTGATTTCGATAAATTGGGACTAACGGACAATGAGAACCCATACGGCGACCTGCCGCCGATCTTTGCACGTTCTATGGGCGGAGCTGCTGCATCTGTGATGGCTAATTATATCGGACATTACCTTGACACAAGACGAGGGAAGCGATCGGCGAAAGAGGCTATACCTCCAGAAGTGGAAACGGCTGTACTTGACAGATTCCATGGTGGAGAAAGGTAACATTATCGTATCTTACTAATATTATAAATACGAATGTTTACATGAATGGATGTTTTTGGAGGAATAACGGCTTAAGGATTCTCGCTAAAATTTGGCGGCAAACACAATAAGTTATTTTTTTAATTCCTTGCGGATGGTGTCGCAGGTGATAGCTAGTTAGTGTTAGGAAAAAAATCCGAAAATGTGGCAGTGTATTGACCCAACACTATTCTTTCTGACACTGGACTTTGTAACGAAAGCACGCTATTCGCGCCAAAGGATTCTAATTATTAAATGTATAAAATTAGAAATACTAAGACGCGATTATCATGTATCGATAATTAAAACAATACATTTTTATATTTATTGCAATTTGTCTTACTAGTGTAATTTCAAATTAAAAATCGACCAGACTTACTTATATTTGTCGCAAAATTCGTGTTCTACTACAAAACTGCAAGTTAACTGTCGTAAATACGAACCTATATCGATATAAGTGACCCATTTAAGATATAATTTTCTACGTGAATGCAACTTTCACCCTAATACTAATAATGTAAATCGTAATTCAAGCCACGTACGTACTAGTTGGTTACGAGTGATGAATGTTGCTTTTACTGACGATGATTTAAATTCTTGCAATGCCCCGTACACTAGTAAATGTTACATAAGTAAGATGTAACAAACATTAATCAAATAGTTTAGAATTAAATAACTTTAAGAATAAATTAAAAAGAAATAAACAATCAAAATACCAATGGGAATAGACAATAGATGTTCTTTTTTCAGTTTTTAAAATCGATTTTTTTTTACTTTTTTTTTTATTAACTGGTGCTTGTTTCCAGAGCGTTAATGTACGGTATAGCAGAGGATCTTTTGGCTAACTTCGGTCTCTCCGGTAAGGAATGTCTGTTGCGCGCCATCTGCGAGATCCATGCTCATCCGCTTACCAATTTTGGATTTCTCGGCGAAGTGATGAAGTTATTCTTTAGGTGAGTTGCAAATATTTATAACAATTCGTTTTACATCTTTATATTTAATTTCAATTGATTTAGTATCTGTGATAAGAACTCTTATAGATGTTTATTAATCCAATTTATATTATTCCCTACGTGACCTTTACAATATAAAATATAAAATGAATTTCATAGTAGAAAATTATGTGGTACTAAACAAATAAAGAGCAACTACAATTCTTATTAACTCTTGATTTCTTTAAAATTTTCAGCCCTACCAAATCGCCGTATTCAAGCCTTTTGGAAGAATACGTCGAGGCACAACGCGCAGGAGAGAGCGGTGGCGAATGTTGGCCGTACTATCGTCTATGTCCTAAAAGCATCTTCCAGCCCTCATCAGCAAACAAATACTCGTAAGTTATACCAACATATACAATTAAAGAACCAATTAGCCAACATAAACAATAATCCAACACAGAATTAATAAGTCAACGTACACTGTAAATAAGCTATTAAGAAAAAAAATAATTTGTTAGAGCACCCATGACCACAAGCATATTTTGTATTAACAACTTAGGAGTTAATAGTTGTGAGGGATATGCGTAGGAAGGAAAAATTTAGATATGACAGCTGATAGAGATGTATAGAGTAGTACATACTGTCCCGACCCTCTGCGGGATAAGGGCAGGTTCATGATGCATTTGGGAGTTCAAAAGACTTTTTTTTCAATTTCAGTGAAAATGCAGAAGATATACACAGGCGGAATGAACAAGAAAAAATCGATAAAAATTTCGTAGAACTAAAGGCAATGTAATATAGAAAATTTGTTAAAAGCGTATCCCAAATGTAGTGCTAGTTTCCAGCCAAAGTTGTTTGAAAATTAATCTACGGAAATCATCTCGTGTTGATATTTTTTTACGCTAACGTAGTAATGATACGTAGATATGGAAAAAATAATTTATAAAAAATTCAGTATATTATACTGTACATAGTTAGAAAATAAAATACATAATTTATGTGAATTAGAATTTAAAATTGAATACGTCGATTTGAAATTAAAAGAAAAATGTAAACAGTAATGAATTTAAAAACCTAATCAATATGCATCTAATAGTTTATTTGGATTTAAAATACAGAAAATTATACGTTAGCAGTTTTTAAATTATTCAACCTTTCGTGAGACATTATAGTAAACTGATATATAGACACGGCTAAACACTCACGTATATTCGTCCGGTGGCGGCACCGACTCGTTTCCAGCCCATCGGGGGCCCTTCATCAAGATGAGTGGTACTGGTATTATTTCGCGGACGCGGCTCGTCGCTCACAGTCCGCCGGTGCCGCCACCGGACAAATATACGTGAGTGTTTAGCCGTGTTTACATATCAGTTAGCAGTTTTTATATAAATTACAAGTTCCATTTAGTTTTTTATAATACGCATTTTGATGTCAATAATAAGAGAACAAAATATTTTAGAAACTTGATTTTTAATCTAAGTGCCATTCTATGTAAGGTAAATGTAACTTAGAAACAACTTTATTGTTTTGTAAATTTTTAACAACATAATTGTAAGTTAAAGTTGTAAGTAAATTAAAGTACAAGAATTGCTTAGATGAATGTATAATAAAATATATTGTTAAGTATTTATATTTATTTATTAGTAATTTATTTTAATAATTATTATTTATTTGTTGTTGCTGGTTTTATTTATAGAAATGTAAATGAAAGTCCTACTAGTGATTACCTAGTAATTTTTGGTGTAAAATAATAAAAAAATGTTCATTTTGTAATCCTAGTTGTTTTATTAGACTGAATTCACAAGTAACAATATTATGAATATTTTTACTAAATGATGTCACTTATCGTAAGTTTCCGAAACCAAAATACATGTATAAAACATATGGTTATCTCTGTTTTGATGACGATATCTTTATCTCTATATATAAAAGAAAGTCACACTATTTATAACTCAAGAACGGCTTTACCGATTGAAGAGCTGCTTTTTATTTAATTTACAAATATTATAAATGCGAATGTTTAGATGGTTGTGATGTCAATGGATGGATGGGTGTTTGAAGATATCTCTAGAACGGCTGAACGGATCTCGATTAAATTTGGCATACATAGAGAACATAGTCTGAAAGAACACACAGGCTACACTAATTAAGTTTCTTTATATATCCACGCGGACGGAATCGCGGGCGACAGCTAGTTATTTATAAAGGTAATATGTTCCCTGAAACCAACGTTTAGGCCTTCCCTTGGCTTTATTTCAACTTACATTAAATAATAACAATTTTATTTAGATTTTCACAAATATCGGACTATATTTAAAGGTTCAAAGTATATCAAGGTCTTTGATAAATCGTTATATGGCATAAACGTAATAATACATACATATATTTAGTTACTGCGCGCGCATATTTTGCCAAATTCAACTAAAATTGAACCTTAAGTTTATTCCTCAGAGTTCAAGTTACAATTGCATCATATCAAAGGAACATTATTCAATAAGATGGAATTGTTAAGGAAACAATAGATATATCTCAAATAATATATAAAATGTTTGTTATATAAAAACCTTATGCTACATAAAAAGAAAAGTCAATAATTTTTGAACATATTTCTGTCATATAACTAAAGAACTGCAAGTAAATTATTCTTTAATATACTATATAACATAAATACTATACTAGGTTAATTAATATTCCAAACTACTATTTTTTTTCTTTTGTCCGACTAAAATACTACGGTATTAAGTCTGTGACGCACGCATGTTAGCTTTCAAAACCACCGTCAGGGGGCGTGAATCGTAGGTACAGCAACTTGACAACAATCTTCTATTTTTAGATCAAACCATTGATATGTTTAAGGTAAGAGTGATAATGATGTGTCTTTTAGTGATGAAGAAAATGTTTGTGATATATGTATTTAATTGCAGCCGCAACATGTGATATTCGTTTATTTATTTATGATGAACGTAATGGTTGAATCTACAACGAAAACAAAACGAAGTTATTCCGATCAATCCGTACGAGGATATATAACAGAGGTAAGTACATTAAATTTAATCAAAACACTTTATATTTTAAACATAAATTTATATATATAATGATATAAATATAAAGAAAAAACATATGTTCGTGTAATACAACAAACTCGAAATTACAAAGCATTTTTAATTAGATAAATTACTCTACATTTTAACGTTAAAGCACATTTGTAGCATGTCTAGTTTTTGAATAACTAAATAACTGTACAGTTAAAAGTCTACGTGTATTAACAGACGCATATATTTCAGAGGACATGTTGGTGGAATGAAGTTTGTAAGGAGGAATTCCAAACGCTGTTCCGATGTAAATGCCCTTCCTGGTCATACTGCCGAAGTCCCGGAAAATATTACAACGCGGTATGTTCAATGACTGAGACGGGGTACATCTGGGACCAACCTAACTCACAATGGCGTGGTCAATAGACAGAGAAATTGTAATTCAATTTTAGCCCTCTTTATTGTGTAATTTAAAATTTATTGTTTATTTAAAATATTCCAATGTGCCAAAATTTTAACGATTCAGAGACTGAATTCATTAGGAGAATGAAATGAAATTTCGTCTTATATTTTCGTATTGAAGCAGATAATGATTTAGTTACGTTTGTAAATTAAAGTCGTGAATTTTAAAATCCATTGACCAATTTTGTTGTAATTCGTTCTTATGAATTAAATAATTTACCAAGAATGTGTATTCATTTTAACACTCCATTTATTTGTGATGTTTTTAAGGCCCCTTGTATCCGCGCATGCGTGTTAGTAGTTAGTGAAAAACGACGATCAATAAGACGTCAGTGCGAACGTAATCGTAAAAGTAGGAGATCATAACAAATGTTCAACAAAATGTTGCATATATTTCTATTGTTTTTCATCGTTTTCAATGTTTACTGTGAACCGGAGACTGTGAGAGATAACTTAGATTACTTTAGTTATGGAAACAACGAAGATGTACTTAAGAATTTGGACATACACGTCGTAAGTAATATTCATCCTAATTAAGAGAATATTTATTCTATTCTATTTGTTAAACACAAATATTTTAAATATAGAAGCGCCTATTAAAAAATAATTCATAAGACCAAGTACTGGTTATTGTTCTTTTTCTAAAAAGTCAATTTAGCGCGTGGCCTTAATTAACATTTGCTTTAAATTAAAATATTTCGATAATTACATTTATCACATCGTTTAATTTTATTCAAATAAAATTTCAGCCAAAAGATGAGATTGTACTCAGACCACAAGAAGTAAAAGACTGGCCTCAACAGTCGCTTAACGTGGGTCAGATCACTGCCGTATCCATAAATTCATTGGGACAACCGGTTATTTTCCATAGAGCCGAAAGAGTTTGGGATGAAAGGTAATATAATCCAATAAATAAATTTCTTTACTATTTCTCCATACCTTTCTTGTTCTAATTCAAACAGATATTGTATTATAATAAAACAGCATTAATACATATTTGATTTTAATTAAAAATTAATTTCAGCACATTCAACGAGTCAAACGTCTATCAGAACTTGGATAAAGGACCTATCATAGAGGATACAATTCTTGTATTGGATTCTCGCACAGGGTCAGTACTACACAGCTGGGGTGCTTATGCTTTCTATATGCCACATGGATTGACTGTCGACCATCATGACAATGTTTGGGTCACTGACGTAGCAAAACATCAGGTCTTTAAAGTAAGTACTCATAATCTTAAACTTAATTCTCTTTGAGTTTTAACAACCGAACCACCTAAATAAAAACAAAGTTTCAGTTGTCAATGATATCTCATAGTAGACCTTTTTTGTCATGAGTTTATTAACTTATTTATGTCGTCTGCGACTCCGTCGGCGCGTGATTGAAAAAATCTTAATTAGTAGCCTATGTGTAATTTTGGAATATGTTCTACATCTATGCCATTCTAACAAACATCCCTCCATCCAACCATTCATCTAAACTTTCGCATTTACAATATAAGTAAGATAGTACGACTGTAAGATTCTAACAAACAGAACATCGTTAAAAATAACCTAGATCTAGACAATTCAAAAATAGAATATGTATCAATTCTATGTAACCATTATTACTAATTGCCAATATTGTTTGTTTTCAGTACACACCAAGTAACCACAAATATCCTAGTTTGACTATCGGTGAAGCTTTTACAGCGGGCTATCCATACAGACGTCGCGTATTGTTGTGCATGCCGACTTCTGTAGCCATAGCAACAACTGGCGAAATATTTGTCGCAGACGGTTACTGCAACAATCAAATCTTGAAGTTTAATGCGGCCGGCACTTTGCTACTAACAATTCCTGCATTCTCTGACACGTTAACTCTCAATCTGCCGCATAGTGTCACATTACTGGAACATTTGGATGTCGTATGCGTTGCTGATAGGGAGAATATGAGGATCGTATGCCCAAAAGCTGGTCTTAAGAGTTACATCGATATTATGGAACCGGCGACAATCATCGAAGATCCTACGTTAGGCAGAGTGTTCGCTGTTGCTTCCCATGGGGATATTATATATGCGGTTAATGGACCGACATCACAGAATATAGCAGTCAGAGGGTTTACCGTGAATGCTGTTTATGGTAATATTTTGGATACTTGGGAACCGGCCACTGTAAGTTTTTGTTTTTAAATTTTCCATTAAATAAAAAGTCTGAGTCTTTCCAGTCAGTTATTTATATTTCTTTTTTAATTTTTAATTTCGACTTGCAATTGTTTCAGGGTTTCACAAATCCACATTCTTTGGCAGTAACAAGGAATGGATCACATTTGTACGTTACAGAAATCGGACCGAATAAGATTTGGAAGTTTGAATTGACCGATGTTTATGACCGAAAGTAGAAGACCAAGGAAAAATATAAATTAAATAAGCTTTATAATATAATATTGCGTTGCGATGGCGGATAAAATTCGCGATTAACTAACAAAAGTTCTATAGCCATTCTATATATATATATATTTTGAAAATATTATAAACTCTACTACTCACGCTTAATTCTACAATTCATATGTATAACATACTATACGTATAATACGATTAATGATAAAAGTCGACTATCAAATTCTTTTGTTTCAGTCACAAAAAAAAAAGTTAAAGTTATATAATTAAAAATAAATTCCAGCTTGATACGTTTACGCGTTTTTGAGAAAAAGGGTCTTGACAGACCGACGGACGGACAACAATGTGATCCTATAAGGGTTCCGTTTTTTTCCCTATGGTGTACGGAACCCTAAAAAACAAATAGAAATTAGGCTAAAAAGAAAATACCATACTAAGGTAATGTAGACAAATCCTAAATATAGTTCTATAATCTGTCCAAAGTTACACAACATTCTTATGTTAAAATTATGCTAATATCTATTGTCTTAACTAAAACATATGAAAAACGAGTTTTTGAACAAATAAACACATTCAAAAGCAGTTCAAAAGCCACTTTTTCCACTTTACATATACAGTTATTTCTAGAAATGTCGTTTGCTTGGTTTACCGCATTATATTTATAACTAGCTGTGCCCGCGACTTCGTCCGCTCTAAATACTGTATTTTAGCTGCGCGCGATACGAGACAGTACTTGGATATTTGCAATGTTATTACTATATTTTTCTAAAATAAACTTAGCCTACTCCTTATTACATCATCTACATGCCAAAAGAAGTCCAGTCAAAATCGGTCCAGCCGTTTCAGAGATAAGCCGGAACAAACAGACAGATAGACAAAAATTTAAAAAATGTTATTTTGGTGTATGTATCGTTATTCATATACATTTAGTAAAAAACGGTTATTTGAATATTACAAACAGACACTCCAATTTTATTTATATGTATAGATGTCCATAAGCAAAGTCTAGTTAAAATAATATAAAACTGTTCTTAGCGACGATTGAATTATTAAAACGCTTTTATATAGTACTAATACGAAACTAAGGTAAAGCAGTAATCATCATTATCATCATCAGCTCAATATGCGTCCCCACCGAGGGGCTCGGAGCCTAACCTAAGTTAGGGGTGATTAGGCCATAGTCAACCACGCTGGCCAAGTGCGGGTTGGTTGACTTCACACATATATTTGAATGTCTTCTCTGATACGTGAAACAGTAATAAGTAAATATAAATAAACAAAGATGTATCCCTAAGTTAGCTTTTTCCGGCAATTTTTTTGTTTATTAAAATATAAGCAGATTTTTGTTAATTTACTAATATTTCTTGTAACATTCCAAGTAAGCTTGTGATAAGATATGGTTTACGACAATATTCGAATGGCGGGATTCGAACTCTCGACACGTGATCGGAAATCCTTACACTTAATTATTGGGCTATTGGCGCTATAATGGATTCCCACAGAGAAATAAAGTTTTGTTTTTATAATATCAAAATTTAAAAAAAAAACTATGTAGTATATAATAGTAAATAATAAAGAATGGTCAAACGAAAAGTATTATTAACATAATGCATATATTAAAAAAACATTACCTATTATAATGATATTGCTTCTACAATTATAGCATAAAAATTAAAAAAAAATGTTCAACTTTTAGCTTTACTTTTTAAACAGTATTGTTAATAGTATTTTAGAAATGTAGCAACTTACAGTAGGTTTCTGAGACCGAAACCTTTATAACCGTACCACTGTCATTATATTTGACAAAACAGAGATAACATATTTGAAACGAAGATTTTAGTCTCAAAAATCAACAGTTAATGCTTTTCCAAAAATGAATACAAGAATAATTAAATGGTTCAAATTAATCACGCACATAAAAATGGTCTATGTTATGTCTAAGAGATTTGAAAGTCTATGGTCTGCAAGATCGTTTACATTATATTCCTTTAAAAAAGTAACCAATTTTATTGAGAATAACTTTAAAAAGGTTAAAAATTGTTGTATTATGTTATTTTAAGAAATAAATTCTGCTCTATTTATCTTTTATAATATTTTAGTGGCATTTTATATGTTAAAAATTCAATAATATTTTATCAACTGGCTATATTTGTATGGACCAAATAAATATTTGGTGAAAATTGTTAAAAGACAAATACGTAGTATGTCTAAGTAGGGTGGTATATTCAAAAATTATAACAATATATTAAAGGTATAATAATTCGTTTTATTTCTCACAAAACTTTTAAATAAATATGATCTAAAAGGAATTGCAAATGAACCTAAGATTAAAAAGAAAAGATCTACCTAAATACGAAAAAGTTAATACAATTTTAGTAAATTAAAATATTATTAAGTTTGAAAAAAAAAACAAAACTTTTACTAGTAAATCTTACTAATACTATAAATGTGAATGTATGGATGGATGTTTGTTTGAAGGTATCTGCAAAATAGCTGTATGGATCCCACTGAAATTTGGTATGGTAACATAGTCTGGATGAAAACATAGACTACTTACTAAACTTTTTTTTGTCCGTGCAGACGGAGTTGCGGGCAAATACTAGTGTACAGTAAAAATGGAATATTTTTGTGTTTTCTCTAATACATTTCGGTAAAGGAAAAAAACATGAAATTAACGGGGTTTCAAATTATTCCACAATATTTGACAATAAATATTTAATAGAGTTATAAATTCACAGAT